GAGAGTACTCGCTCAGTTCAACCGCCCACTTCACCAATCGACCAGAGACCGATGGCCGACCCAATGTTTCTCCCAACGGCATATTCGTTCGCACCTTCACCTTATGATTCAGGAAATACGGTCTCAATTTGCGAGCAGTTACAACCACAGCTAGCGCACACTTCTCGATCTCCGAATATCTCGTCTCTGCTCCTTGCATCATTCTACTCACATAGTAGATAGGGAGTTGAGCTGTTCCCTCCTCCCGCAACAATACCGAACTTACAGCTCTCTCCCCGATGGAAATGTATAGCACCAGCTCCTCTCCTTGCACGGGTTTGGCCAATAAAGGGAGGTTGGCCAACACCCCTCGCAGCTCCTCAAATGCTTTTTGCGCCTCCTCCGTCCATTGGAACTTCGCGCTCTTCTTCAGGGTTTTGAATAACGGGCAACTCTTCTCCGCCACCTTCGATATAAAACGACTCAGCCCCGCAATTCGACCGGCCAAAATCTGCACCTCTTTTACGTTTGTTGGTGACTTCATCTCCATCACAGCTCGAACCTTCTCCGGATTGACTTCAATACCCCTCTTAGTCACCAGATAGCCCAAAAATTTTCCTGACCTCACTCCGAAAGAGCACTTGGCCGGATTTAGCTTCATCCCGTATCTCCGCAACGTCAAGAATGTTTCTCTCAAATCTCGCACATGATCCAACTCCTCTCTACTCTTCACCAACATATCATCCACATATACCTCCATATTCCTTCCCAGCTGCTCCTTAAAAATTTTATCGACCAACCTTTGATACGTGGCACCCGCATTCTTCAAACCGAACGGCATGACCACGTAACAATAGGTCCCTCGACTCGTCACGAATCTCACCCGCTTCCTATCCTCTTTAGCCAAGGGGATTTGATGATACCCCTGGGATGCATCCATCAGACTTAGCAACTCGCACCCTGCCGTTGAGTCGACCAGCTGGTCGATTCTGGGCAGCGGATATAGGTCCTTCGGGCACGCCTTGTTCAGGTCACGAAAATCAATGCACGTCCTCCATTTTCCTTCCGACTTCGACACCATCACCGTGTTCGACAGCCACTCAGGGAATTGAATCTCCTTAATATGCCCTGCTCCCAACAATTTCTCGACCTCCTGCTCGATAATCTTGTCCATCTCCGCCCCATGGTGCCTTCTCTTCTGCTTCACCGGCCTCACGCTGAGGTCGATATTCAGTCGATGTTCAATCACCTCCGCACTTATTCCTGTTAACTCCTCAGCTGTATGGGCAAAAATATCAGCGAACTCCCTTACCAAGTCAATCAGCCTCGACCGAATGGGCTCCTCCAGATCCTTCCCAATTCTGAACTTTCTACCCTCGCATCCCTCGATCATCTGAATTTCCTCAACCTCTCCTCCAGGCTGGATGTCCATCTTCTCCTTGCCCTTGTCCACCTTTTGCTTCTCCTCCTTCGACCTCGATCCTCCTGGTCGATTAATTTCCTCTCCCTTCGACTCGGTCTGTCTTTTCGCCAATTGCTTGTTATTGCTAACTGTTGTCTGGTAGCAGCTTCTTGAAGTAAGCTGATCCCCGGCAATCTCCCCTACGTTTTCGCCCACTGGATATTTGATCGTCATGTGGTACGTGGATACGACCTCCTGGAATGCATTCAGGCTCGTCCGCCCCATGATGATGTTATAGGACGACTCAGCCCCTACAACGACGAACCTCACCATGCGCACTTTCCTCAGCTCCCCTGATCCTAGCGCCACGGGCAAACTGACCTCCCCCATCAGCATAACTTCTCCTCCATTAAAGCCATAAAGCGCCGTGGCTACCGGCTTCAGCTCCGTATTCAGCTCCTTGTTAATCTGCACGAAACAATCATAGAACATGACATCCACCGAACTCGCAGTATCAATGAACACCCTCTTTACATCAAAGCCCGCCACCTCCGCGGTTATCACCAGAGCGTCATTGTGTGGTAAGACTACCCCCTCAGCATCCTCCGCCTTGAAACTTATTATTGGCATGCGCGTTGTAATCCCCACCTCCTCTCTCTTTCTCTTCACTGCTCGCGCATGCTCCTTCCTCGATCTGTTCGAGTCACCATCTGTCGGCCCCCTAGAAATCATGTAAATCGTTCCTCTTTTCAGCGGGGCCCCTCCTCCTTGTCCCTCTCTATCTCCCTCCTTTCTCGACCTTTTTCCTCAACCATCCCCTCCATCTCCTTCTTCATCTCTATCACTCCTCTCCTCGGAATCCTCTCTACATCTCCTCCTACCCTTTCCTCTCACCCGGTCGTGATAGACAAACTCCTTCAGATATCCTGCCCGAATCAACCTCTCGATCTCATCTTTCAAATGCCTGCAGTTCTCCGTGGTATGGCCGTAATCCTTGTGAAATCGACAATACAAATCCGACCGGGGCCGATGCGGGCCGGTGAACCTTGTCTTTGGCCAAGTTACGTCCTCAGTCGACATCTTCTGCTCCATAGCCTCGAGCACTTCCGTCATATCTTTCCTCAAGGGAGTAAAGTTGTGGTACCTCTGCCTCTCGAACACCATAGGCCTCCTCTGCCATTCATCTCTCTTTTCCCTTTTCGCATCTCCACTCCTCCTTCGTGGAGACGCTCTCCTTTGTTCGCTCCTCTTAGGCGAGCTTCTCCTTGGTGATCTCCCCCTCGGGCGTCTTTGCTCCTTCTTTGGTTCTGGTTGGGACATCCCCTCGAGTTTTGCAAACTCCATCTCCATCTCCTCCAGATTAATGTACTTCCTGCACCGCTTCAGAACATCCTCGTACGATCGAGCCGGGGTCTTTGCCAAAGAAGTTCGGCAAGGCCCTGCTCGAAGACTACTAATCAATCCTCCTGCTTTTACCTCATCTGAAGCGGAGTGCACTTCCAAACATGTTTTATTATATCGAGCAACATACTTTCTCAGCAATTCCTTCTCCCCCTGTTTCATCGCCATAAGGGTCAAGTAAGTCTTCTCTTGTGCCACTGCGCTCGAATATTGATTAGTGAGCTTGCTGGCAAGGTCCTCAAAATCCGCAATCGATCCCGAAGGTAATTGATGAAACCAGTCAAGTGCTCCTCCGCGTAAGGTCGACAAGAACGCCCTGCAACAAACAGAATCAGAGTATCCATGCAACACCGCCATAATCTCAAAGGTCCTCACATGCCTCGATGGGTCGGATGACCCGTCATACACCAAGTTGGTCTCCTTGAAATTGTTCAGCAAAGGAGCAGCGAGGATCTCCCTTGAAAAGGGATGTCCTCGAGCTCTCCTCTCTGGCCTTCCCTCCACCTTATCTTGCAACTGGCGCAACTGCTCCGCCATCCTCTCCATGGCCCGATCTCTCCCAGCTCCTCCTTCCCCATAACTGGACACATTCTCATCCTGGTTCCCCGTTGTCGTTGTCGGCGCAGTGGTGGCGTGCGATGTGTGACTTGTGACCTGTTGCACCGCCTGCGCCGCCGCGGCCGCGGCTATCCTCTGCATCTCCTCCCGGGTCATCGTAACCACTTGCTGGCCCGGGGTTTGTACGGCTACCTGCGGTGGCACTCCTCTTTGTGCCTGCACTCCTCCTTGTGCCTGCACTCCTCCTTGCCGTTGTGTTGGATCTGGTGGTGGTGGTGGTGGCATCGCCGCTGCCGCTGCCGCTGCTAAGCGAGCCTCCTGGGCTTGACTGGAGCTGGCACCTCCGCCGGGAACCACCGTCGTCGCCCCTACACCTTGGAAATTAGGTGCGGGAGTGACAGGCGTCTGCGATGGGCCAGAAAAACCCGGAGGAGGGCCGTGCCCTAATGGCCTGGTCGTCGTCCAAGCTTCGTCGAACGTCGACTGCAAATTTCTAGGGATTCCGTCCGCCATAGCTGAGCTTCAAACACAACTTTTTGAACAAAAAATCCCCACAGACGGCGCCAATAATGCAAGTGTAAGCGTCCGGGTCCGGTTTGGAGTAGATCGATTCTTGTCCTTGCCGGTAGAACGCCGAGAACCTGCAAATAACTCTCACACCGGGGGTTGGATCCGGTGAAGAGCCTCCGATGCCTAAGTCAGTATGTGTATGAGTATACTGGAATTTAGAGAGTGAATAGAACGTGTTAAGGAAGAAAGGCTCATCCCCTTTTTATAGGGGTGAGATACCTGCCCTAATAGCTGCCCGGATAAGGATACGTGTGTTGCCCAAGCTGCCCGTCCGTACTCTGACACGCCGCACACATGTCAGAGGTGTCGCGGGACGTTTGGGCGTTGTCAGAGGTGGTTATCGCTATCACCCAATACATTGTCGACACGTGTCCACCCGGCACATGGGGTAAATATTCTCCTAAAGCACAGTCGGAGACCTTCACGCGCGTCTGCTATACACGCATCTGGGCTTATGTTGATCAGCTTGCTCGATCACTCAGCTTGCTCGATCACTTATCTGATCGATTGATGGGTAGCTCGAGCAGTCTGATCGAACGTCAGGCTACTCAAGCGCCGGTGCAGTCGAGCTTTGTGTTGTTCGATCGCTTGTGTGGTCGAGTCCTGGGGCTGCTCGATCCCTTGGATTTCCGCCTTTCGGCTTGGTTTGCTCCCGGTCTGCTCTTCTCGACCGGCTCACCAAATCGGCTCGTCTTTGTACAGATAATATCCTATATCACGAACAATAATCAAAATAAAACTGGGGCTAATAAATATATCTATACAACGCACATAATAATATTTATTAATAATACACAATATTATTTTATAACTCACTTTAATCACATTAAATCAATTAGGTAAATAATAATAATAAATATAAGGATAATAAATAATAAATAACCTAATTATTCCATATTCAAACAGATTATAATCGGTTCACGCGATTAAACTGAAATCGTCAAACGACGAATGTTTTTCAATAAGATAATTGAGTATTCCAACCTTTTATTTAAGTTTACATCGCGACTAATAAAATAAATATAATCTCATAATAATATTCGATAAATAAAATATTCTGAGAAATTCTATAAATCGAACGGGGCGTTACAGGAAGCTTCACGATGGTGGTCGGAAGGCTCGGTGATGGCGGTTCGCCGCTGCTCGCGGTCACTCTCGGCGACCAAAGGTGCTGCTCACCGGAGGGAGTCACGTGGTGGCGTCTACGATGGGTCTCGGCCCATTTCTGCTCGCAACTGGTACTCCTCACCCGTGGCTCGCGATTGTCGATTGTACAGGTGACGCTTTAAGGGTTGGATTAATTGGCGATGATGTTGAGAGAAATCACTTCTCTTTTTTGTGACGGAAGGGAGAGCGAGATGAGGGAGCAGCAGATTAGGGTCTGCGAGAGATATTACGAGAGGGAGAGGGACGTATATATTTGGCCTAGTAGAAGATCATTTGGGCTTAGCTAACGGGTTGAGATTTATCTCAACAGGCCGAAAGTTTAACTCGCTTGGGCCGAACTTACTTAACTTAGGACAAATTAATTCACACGGGCCAAAATAAATAAACTCAAATTGGCTGAAATATACGCAACAATTGGGTCAAAAAAAATAACCTTCCGAGGTTCAGGTTGAAATGGCTCAAAACGAATCAAGATGGATTAAATTCGATTTACGCAATTAAAACAGAAATCGCCGAAACAATTAAATCATAATCCTAATAATTCTAATACAAAAATAAAATAATAAATCACACATAATATTCACATAAAATAATGCTACATAGCAATTAAATAAATAAGCAGATCAACGAGACAAGCAGTTAATAAAATAACCGGCAAATAAATGAAGCAAGGAAAATAATCAATTATAATAAATTTAATAATAATAATAATAGTAATAATAATAATAATAATAATAATAATAATAATAATAATAATAATAATAATAATAATGCAATAATGATAATCTCTATTATTCATAAACAAACGAGGCGTTACAGCCGACTTTGGGCCTAGAGTACGAATATTTGCACCCTACGTCGGATAGCGGATTCAGTGGCCTCCACCGGGTTGCATTGGATTTTACCATTCAAGTATTCTCCTGGATCTCCGATTCCCGCTGCCCAGCGCACTGAACGAAATCCTTAGTGACCTCGACATCGGCATTAGTCAGTTATTGTCAATCGTGTTTGCTCAGCTCGTAAGCTTGATCGTGATGTTCCGTTGTGAGGGCTGGTCCGACCCCACCGTCGACGAGGTGAAAGCGTTGGTTGCCTTTATGAAATCTTGCGACACCAGCAATTACTACAACTCTATTGTAACGCCCCATTATTTGTTTAAAAAAAAATCCTGAGTTTTCAAAAATCATAGTAAATTTTTAAAATTTATTATTGTTTTGAAAACCATTTAAATAGCGCTAGTCAATCATATATCGTTCGGCTTAGTATCACCACAAGCCGTTGAGAACTCATTGCCCAATATCAATTCACATACAAGATGTAATTCTCAACTATACCATGTCAAAATTAACATCAAATCAACAGTTTTCAAACCACAACCATATCGAAAACATCAATTCGAAACCAATCATATGTTTGAAATTGTTCTTGTTTAAGCGGAAGCAACATCAACATAAACAGATAAAATGACCCCACCCGTTTCGCCTTTGCCTCGCCATTAACTCAACAGGAAAAGGGGAAAATATGTGTGTGAGCAAACCACTAGCTCACCGTGAGAATTACAGTACAACCTATCTAGTATAATAATAGAAAACATAATTGCAACATGGACATAGATCAATCATATCAAATAATAATGCTCTTGTAATCACTTATAAAACTTTTGAAGGTCGATACTGCCTCCAAAAACGAGAGCACATGTCGAAGGTCGATACTGCATCCTACGACAAGGCTTATCATTAAGCAAATAAGGGAGACTGCCTCTCATTAGGCACCGTCGACGGTGGATACTGCATCCGACGAAGGGAACACCATATCGAAAGTCGATACCACATCCAACGACTGGTCACATGGTTTACAGTCATACATTGATTATAAGATCTGGTGATTATAAAGAATAATCATACAGTAAAGTTTATCAACACCCACCTCAGTTTGGAAAAGACCGGAAGGACAAAAGTAATGATCGCGGTAGGTTCGAGGGCTCGACTCCTCGGAAACCTAAAATTAGGCAGGATAATTTTTATGGATAAAATTATCTCATTTACTCAGATATTTATTGAAATTTCTCTCTTAAGAAAAAAATATCTAAAATTATTCTGAGCAAATTTCTTAAAATAATGTCAACATCCGAAAAATTACCACTCTTTAGGATTTTACAAGCAAGGAGGCACGACTCGGATTTTTGCTCACAACCTCGGTCACTCCTCCGTTATTCATTCTTGAAAAAGACTAGGTTTTTGGGTCAATGCTCCTTCAGTTACCCATTTTGATTTAGTCTACATTTATTTTTCCTTGGTCCATTTCTTTGTAATTCTCTTGTGCCCCTTTCCTTCGAATTTTTGACCCAAACTAAAAACTAAAATAAAATAAACAAGGCCCAAATATTTTATCTTATAGTCCAAAATCTAAACGAAGAAGGACCAATCTTACAAATTTGGTCAAAGTCCATATTTTTTTATTTTCTTTTCTATTTTCTTTTTTCTTTTCTTTCCCTCTCTCTTTTTTTCCTCTATCTTTATCTTGTCATTATTCTCCTCAGCTTCTTCCCAAATCTATTTCTTTAATCTCAATTGCAGATCACCAATTTCTGAATCAATTTCCTTATGTTTCCTCTAAACTCCTCACCCATGGATGAATCCATTCGCACCCACACCCAGAATTAACTTCTCCCCCTCTTCACCAATGCCCCACGTGAGACGCGGAACAGCGATCAGGAGCGGCCACTCGCAGATTTAGCCCAACAACGGCTATGGGCTGCGATGTACCTGAGGGCGCGGTGGACGGACGTCTGTGACTGCTACTGTGGGACGCCGACGAGAAGTCACAGCGTGCGAAGGCGGCTCGTGGTTGAGGCTAACGGCAACTGTGGTTCGGCTGTTTTCTGTTCGACGTGGCCTGTTAAGGCCTCGCCTCGGTTCACGGATGTAGTGGTATCATCTCAAGATCATAATAATAATTGAGAGAAAAAATAAGTTTCTATTACTCACAAGAATAAAAACAAGAGATTCACAAACTGAAAAAAAAAAAAAAAAAAAAAAAAAAAAAAAAAAAAAAAAAAAAAAAAACTCTCAAACTCTTCACAACTCTACTTGGTTGTTTTTCAACACTCTCAAGGTTGATTGATCATACTCTAGGAAAATTTGAATAAATGAAATGAGCACCCTATTTATAGATACAATCAAGCACACCATTGTTGACAAATGGTGTGTGAAAGAAGAAGGTTGGTAGAGGTAGCCATTGAAGACTTCTTCATTTGTGTGCCATTGAAGCTTCTTCATTTGTGTGCTGCAACTTGCATGGAACTTTCAATTCTCCCCTTTCCATGCAAGTTCTGAACAAACATTCCTACTATGTCTCTGCATAGCTTAACCTTATCCAGTGTAACTACTTTTTTTTTACATATATGATGGATTCTGTTTAGTATTGATCTTCACTAGTTTGAACAGTTGTTGATCAATCTTCTCGCGTATACAGTGTTAATACCCAATTTTGGCCTCGCCTATTAAAATATTACACGTGGATATGTACTATATCAATTGTCTTATTTTAGGGACCACAA